ACTGGATTTATATTTTTATGTTCATATGTATATTTCTGCCCAGATTATTATAATGCCACTTGACCAATTAATTGCTAAAATAATGATTCGTTTGTTTTACTGTCATTCGTAACTGTCTCAGAATATCAAACACGCAAACCAACGAGAGTATACGTGGGACATCTATAAATAAGTTTCTTGGTTCAGAAATATTTAGATTTCATTTTTGCAACTTTCTTGGAATTCTTTTGTGTCTTTCTCTACTATTCTTGAGTTTCTTGTTTTTTGATTCTATTGACCTACTTTGTTGTCCTTGCATTTGTTCTATTGTTCTTAGCTGCGGTATGTAGCTGCTACGTAGATCAAACTCTGGCACTTCATTAGGTTGAACAAACAAGTTTTAAGAAGTTTCTTTTTTTTTTTTTTTTTTTGAACAAAACAATTTTAAAGAAGAAGTTTTTTTTTTTTTTTTTTTTTTTAATTTTCAATTACCTTATATCTATTTTCATTGCAAATTATATTATAAACAAATATATAAAACAATAATTTTTAGAATCAATTTTTTCTTTGACAAATAAGAAGATGATCTATGAATTTTTAATGGTTCAATATAATTATAACTATAGTTTTAGAACTTTTTAAAAAAAAAAAAAATCAATGCCTTCTTTAAATATGATATGAGTTTTTATTCGTAAATTGTTTATATAAATAAATTAAAATTTAATTTTCTTACTTTTATTTGAAATATTTTTATATTTAATTTATAGCGAAATACTTTTGTAACGCCCCATTTTTCTGTGTCTGAAAGAGTAAGTTTACCAGTGTGTAAATAGTACCATCAGTCCGGAAGTCGATATTATTTTGGTTCGGAAAAATTACAAAGAGTAAGTTTACCAGTGTGTAAATAGTACCATCAGTCCGGAAGTCGATATTATTTTGGTTCGGAAAAATTACTACAACTTTAATTAAGATGCTTTAAGGATAACATGTCAATTTTAATTCAAAAGAGTATCTCATAAAATTATTATTTTTTATTTAAGTGTATATATATATATATATACTTTTTATTGTACTTATTTATTAATTTTTAACTTATATTTATTCTATGTATAAAGAAAAATCTAAAAAATAAATTTAGTTAAGTGATTAAACACGATAGTTAAATAATTTAGTTAAACGAATAACACTATAAAGTAATAATGTTTCCAAAAACATTTTTCATTATTTATTTTTTTATACTTATTAGTATTAATTATCTTTAAATCGAATTAAATGATAAAGGTTTGACTTAAATTTTATTAAAAGGGATAAAAATTGATGTTCTTAATTAATCACATATGATATTTATATATAATTAAATGCTTAAACTTTGATATTTTTCTTTTTTTGAAGGTAAAATTTTCATATATTTAGATATGGATTAAGGCTCAATCTACTCCCTAAATTTAGGCACAACATATAATTTGTCCAAAAGTTTAATTTTTTATACAAATTAACCCTTAAACTTGCACCAAAAGAAGAACAAAATGCTCAAATTTTTATGAAAAACTTTTCTTTTATAGTTTTAACTAATAAAAAAATTACTTAAAATTTAAAACTAGAAAATAAAAATTATTTAAAAATATAATTTTTAACTAAATAAAAAGAATTACTAAAAGATTTAGCTATAAATTTTCAAAAAACTAGAAAATTAAAAATTATTTAAGAAATATAATAATAAGATATATGAAAATTTAAGATTAAAAATATAATAATAAATATAAAAATTTAGAGGATTTGATTTAAAAATAATTGAACAAATACTTTATTTGAAAAAAAAAATTATAGAATTAGAAAAGGATTTGATTATATTGAAATATTTGGTTAGAAAAATATTCATTATTTTTTGTTTGATTATTTTTTTAATTATATTTGATTTAGATCAAATACTTAATTTTTTTTAAACATATTTGATTTGTATCAAATAATTTGGTTTTTAGGATAAAAATTGGGCAGTTTGTACTTTTCATACAAGTTTAAGAGGTAATTTATACAAAAAGTTAATTTTTCGGTAAATTGCATGTTGTGCCCAAATTTAAGAGGCAAATTGAATGTTATTCCTTGAGAAATTAAGGATAAGTTAAAAATGATAGAATAATATCTTTGCAGCAACGCGCAAATAATTCGCATGCTTTTTACTAAGCTTTTTAACTTGTTATATTAAGGGTCTGTTTGATAAATTTTGTTGTTTTGATAGCTATTAGTTGTTTTAGTAACGTGTAGCTGTTAGCTGTTTGAGCAGCCTTTTATGAAACGCTAAAAGCTAAATATTATATGATTTAACTTTTCACAAAACGCTACCATAATTTCTAAAAGTTAATGCAAATACTATATTACCGAATAATTTTTTAAATAATTTTAAAATTTAGAAAGTTACTGCAGAATGCAGCCTAAACGTCTCGAATTATAATATCACAGTCATGGAAACAACTGCAAGCACTCCTATTAATGGAAAATGTCACATCAAATGAGATATATAAAAATTATATTGAAGATTGACCAATAATTCTAATTTAAAAAATGGTAATTTGTCTCAATACTTTTTATAAATTTATTTTAATTTAATTGACAGTGATATTAGTTTATAAATTTTGAAAGTCAAGTTAATTTTTGATTGGGTGGTGAGTCAATTTCCGTGGATATTAAAGTTGATAATGTAACTTTCTAATATCTTGACCCAAAATATGGAAAATCAAATTGCCTTTTTTTTCAAAGTTGGACGAAGACTTAAAATTGATGGGCCCTTAGTTGGACGTTGAAGCTTTGGTACAGTTCGTTTTCTTAAACCCACCACCGCTAACAAGTCACTTGGTTGTCACACAATTAATCGAATTAGATGAAATATTGGTATATGTGTTCCCAATTGCAACATTTTTTTTTTTTTTTTTCCCCGCTGGATATTAAAAGTTTGATAATGTAACTTTTCTAATATCTTGAACACCAAAAACATAATGGAAAATCAAACATTGCCTTTTTTTTTTCAAAGTTGGACGAAGAGACCTTAACAAAGATTGGATCGGCCCCTGTAGTTGGACGTTGAAAGCTTTGGTACAGTTTCCTTTTCTTAAAAGCCTTAAAACCCACCACCAGCTAACAAGTCCACCTGTGGTTTTTGTCACCACAACAATGTAATAATCGAAATTAGAACTGAAAATATTGGTATAATGTGTTCGCCAAATTGCAAACATTTTTTTTTTTTTTTTTTTTTTTTGGACAACGGCAACAATTGCAACTTGTGGAATAAAGACATATTTTGTGGTAATCGTTATGGTAATGCATTCATTGGCCGGTCACAAAACAAATCTCCCCACCGACGAATTATTATTAAATGTATATATATTATTATATAATATCGCCTGCTTGTAAAAAATATGCTATAAAAGTTACCAAATTTAAATTATGGACTGGATAAAAAAATATCCATTAAAAATTTTAAATTGTTATTTGTTGAACAAATACAAAAATAATTTTTTAATTTTATTGGCTAATATTATTGCTCAAAACTATATAAGATAAACATATAAATAAATGGTAAAGCATGTAATTTTTTGTTAAGAGCTTACTAAACTTTGAATAAATTTTTTAATCCTTGATTAAGTTGTAGTTATATTTTCCTGTAAATAACTAAACTTTATCTCTAACAAATATATATATATTTTGATTTATTTTATTAAAAAAATGAAATATATTTAAATAAATATTTAATTTATTTGTATAGAAATATATTATAATATTTATTATTTGATATAAAATAGAAAATAAAACTCAAATATATACAAAATATAAACTCATGATATGACATATCATATTAGCAAACACGCTAGCAAACATATTTTTTATAACAATCGGTATTTTATTTTATTAAATAATAAAAATTAGAAAAAACTTATCAAATCTAAGATATTAAACCTGAGCCAGTAGAACTCCCCTATATACTCAAAACTACAACTTGAGTTTAATAAGTGAAAAAACTTAGCTACCAAAAATTTCATACAACAATATAAAACAGATGTAGATATCTCCTCTTAGATAATAAAAGATAAGCTCAAAAAAAAAAAAAAAAAAAAAAAAAAAAAAAAAAAAAAAAGAAAATATGCAAATATCAAAATAATACAACTCTTATTTATTATAGCTAAGCCAAAAAAATGTACCTTAGCCTCAACACCTTTTTTTTGCCAGACAATCTGCAAATAATATTTATTTCTACTAACATGTCTAAACTCAATATGGCTCAACCGAGAGATGGTTGAATCAAACTTATTAAAACTTTTTCACTGCTTACATAGGTATTTCTGCTTTTGAAGAATAAAATATTTTTTGAATCTGACTCGATCACTGAACTTTTTAATTTGTAATCTTAGTCCCAAACAATCTGAACTAAATTAAAAATGGCTAATAATTCGATTTCATTAAAATCTAAAATGTTAACAGACTTAAAAAAGATGCAAAGTACCATCCATTGAGACTTTCTCAAGACTATCCCTACAACAGCAGTGCCCGGTTTACCTCTTGTTGCACCATCAATATTGAGTTTAACGAAGCTAGTTGGAGGATTTTCCCAAGTCACATGCCCAATTCTACAAGCATTCCTTGTACTAAAATTCAATTTGTTGTTACAAGCTAATAAAGGGAACAAACACCAATCGCTGAGACTAAGAAATAAAGAGGGATAGTTTGCTTTGATCAACTTGAAAGTTCTGAATTTTATTATGTTAATAATATGATGAAGTGGTTGTCTCTCATTTGAAAAAATCAATCTATTACCTATCAATCAAATCGTCCATAAAGCTATGTAAAACATCACATTCCAAGCTTTATGAAAGCCTTTTAATTAAATTGGATAATTTCACTCCATTGTCAATCCAAATCTACCATCCTTTTTGGAAGAGCAGTTACAACACACCACCAATTCAAAAGACCATCCCATATCTTTGTAACAAAAGAGCAAGTTAACAATACATGATCTATATTTTCAACATTACTTTCACAAAAAGGATAAATACATTCATCCATTCCATAAATAATACATCATCTAACCAGGTTTATTCTAGTAAGAATTTTATTTAAATAAGCTCTCCAAACAAAGCAAGCTACTTTAGGAGATATTAAAGATGACCAAAGATGTTTAAAATTAAATTGAACTACAGTAGCTCCAAGTTCCTTTTCTTGTAATAAGCTATATAAATTTTTAATAAAAAAATGTACATCTTCTGCTGAATTTTCATACCTATTAAAGATGACCAAAGATGTTTAAAATTAAATTGAACTACAGTAGCTCCAAGTTCCTTTTCTTCTAGTAAGCAATATAAATTTTTTATAGAAAACGTACCTCTTTTGCCGAATTTCCATACCGCTTGATCCTCAAATTCAGGAAGAACTGACACTTCATCAAGTTTTTATTTGAGCAGTTTCCTTGATTCCTCCTCAAACTTCTTGGTTGTCTCCTCCACTATAATTCCCAATGCCATTTTCCATTCAAAAGAAGCTATAATTATTTACCCTTGCTCTTTTATTTTCTACTAAGCCAAACAGTCTTGTAAATAGTGTCTTCAATTTACTTCAAATAGTCAAAGATCCAACTAGAAACTAATCTGTTTTCCATCTCCTAGAATCCAATGAAACCCACTTTTGAAAAAAATCATCTAAGAAAGGAGACTCTCTAATAGCCACAATGTCTCTCCAACAATGAGAAAACCTTTTCCATAATTCTCTACGAATACCAATTCTTACCATTGCATCCTCTCCATATTTTGAGATAAAAATGTGATGCTAAAGAAATCCAAATTCTGACTTAAAACTCCACCGCCATTTTTCTATGAAGGCTTTATTTTTTTTTTATCTTAAAATCTGGTACCCCAATCCACCCTTATTTTACTACTACAAGTTGTATTTAGAGCTACCTAGTTCGATGGACGTTCATTTTCCATACCTTTTCTCAAAAAAAAAAAAAAAAAAAAATTTCCATACCTTTTCTTCAAAAAAAAAAAAAAAAAAAAAAAAAAAAAACATTTTTTAATTAGACTTCTATTTCTTTCATAACATTTATGAAGGAAGGAGCTTTAAAATAGACATATAGTATGTCGATTTTGTATTGGATATTTGTCTCAAAATATTAAGTCATTTTTGAACTCTATTTCAATGAGTAAATAAATGATTTATTTTTTGTCAATATTATCATTATTTAACATTAAGATAAATAATAAATACTTTTACAAATTATTTTTTATTTTAAAAATAAAAAAATAATTTGATTAAATTTTAAAATAAAAAATAATTTGATTAAATTACTTTCTATTTTATTATAATTTAAAAAATTAATTATTTATTAATTCCATAATTTACCGAAATTTTAAATTATTTATATTTTAAAAAGGACAGAATATATAATTATCCATAGTGTTAGTCGGATTTTGTATGTAATGGCAAGGAAGATTGAATGGACCACAGCAAATTAATAAGTGAGATTGGACGTGTTCCCTAGATTTTTAATGCTCCCTAGTATTAATGCCTCAACCGTTCATTTTCTACCATCCATCCATTTCTATATGTAATAATGCATGTATCGGAATCGGAAACTCATCAAAATCAAACAATCCCATAATCGGAAACTGTCTGACGTGTTTCCCTGTTTTGTAATCACATGACCGACCACATTGAATAATTTTATGAACGTAGGCATCTTGTGTGGGACCCACAAGTACGCACAGCATGAGTGTTGCCCTTTTGTAATTTTTTGACAAAACCAAAATTTCCTGTCTTTTGGTACGAAGTCCTATAAAGTCTCTGCAGTTCTTCAAAAAACGTATTTGTTGTTCTTTACGATAATCTTCTTTTTCTTTAAAAAAAAGACAATTACGATAAGAGAACGTTACATTATTAGCTGTTGATAAAGTTGGTTATTGCACGTAATAATTAATTTTTAAAATTACAATTCAAACAATATCCCTCCTTGCTGATGTCGACGAACATATTTGGATCGAAGGAAATTTGTCATCATTTCCTTTCCATTGTAACAGCTGAGCTAGCCCTGGAGATTAACTTTATAATCCCCTGAATTTTACAGCGAAATTATTTTAGTTTTATATTTTTATATTTTAATAATAATTACACGTCTCGCTAAAATAATATATAAAAGTGTAAAATTATGATTGAACTCTATAAAGATATTTTATTTTAGCGAAATACATAATTATTATTGAAATAGAAAAGTGTAAGGTCATTATAAATCCACTGCCAAAATTTAAAAATAAATTTATCATTAGGCCAAATTCAAACATTGTCCATCCACAAAAAATGAAGTTTAAGAAATAAGCATGTTTGTGTTCAACAAGACACAATTAAATAGGGTCGAGCAAAATGACCAATGAATACTTTTTGGTCAGCTCGGTCATAATAAGTTCAATTCTTGGTTTAATGAAGTTCAAACTGAAGTTCCAAAATAATTCAGCTCAATTTTATAGAATTCATTCAATTAAGTTTAAAATCAAACTAATTTTATGAACTAATTCGATTCGATTTTGATTCTAAAAATCTAATTTGCCCTTTTAAATCTCAAATTGATTTAATTTTTAAATTTAACGGATGACTTTCACAAAATAAAAAATTCAATCTTTCAAAAAAATGCATGAAAAGAAGCAGCTTTTTCAATCTAAGCTGTGATACAATACTCTTATCTGATTAGTATTAAACATTCTTTTTTTTTTTTTTTTTTTTTTTTTTATTCTTTTTTTTTTTTTTTTTTTTTTTTTGAACTTGGTACTAAAACATTCATTTCAGGGAATCATAAACATTAATAAATAAACCTTTTATTTATTTCAATCTCTAACAATTTTCTTATTTTCAATTGAAAATTTCCAACATTTTTTGCAGTTTGTAATCCTGAAAGCTGGGATACCATTCTTTTTTTTTTTTTTTTTTTTTTTTTTTTGAACTGGTACTAAACATTCATTCAGAATCATAACATAATAAATAACCTTTTATTATTTCAATTCTAACAATTTTCTATTTCAATTGAAAATTCCAACATTTTTGCATGTTTGTAATCCTGAAAGCTGGATACCATTCTGGCAAAGCATCCAAAGCTGTAAACAAATTGTGCAACTAGAAATATAAAATTCTCCCACTATGTACATAAAAAGTCATAGGGAAACGAGGCAACGTCCACTAAACAAATTCTTGTGTCATTCGCCTAACATTAACAAAATTAGGAAGATGTCTTCCATAATTAAAAATAGAATTAAAAATAAAAATAAATATACATTCAAAAGCTACCTTCATCCCAATATATTATTAACACATTGGTCCATGCACATTTCCTTTTCAAAATGGCCACAAGATTCAACCCCACAACATATTTTCCATCACCATTAACCTTTTTTTTTTTTTTCACTTAAACAAAAACTTTTAAAACAAAAAGTCATGATCATGGCATGCAATTCCTTATCTGATGTGGGTCCATTTTCTTAGATCAAGCATCCTAGCCGTTGGATTAAAATGTCAACGGTTTACCTTACAATCATAGTCCCCACAAGAAACACTCATTTACATTAACTACCCGAACTTTAAATCATGAGCATTATAGTCCCCGCTGCAGGCGCTGTGGTCCATCAGATTACAGATCAACGGTTTACCTTGCTTTGACTTTGACAGAGGTAGACTTGGCACTGTATAATAGTTTTACCAATCCTGAAGCCAGGAACAACGGTGAAAGCAACTGGTGGATCGGATTCTGGTGCATTATCCGACAAAACCAATGCATCTTCAGCTACACATTCCATATAAACTTCAGAAAATCGACAACCTTTCCGAACTTGAAAGATCGATGCCTCCGGCTCGAACGAAAAGGCCAAGCAGTGTAATAGCCAAACCCGCTTTGCCATTTCAGCAAATGAGTTGAAGAAAGTTGTATCAGGAAACTTACCAGATTGCAGAAGGTTTCTTTGCCTTAAATTGCCAAAGAAAGATAATTCCATTTGAGGATGAACAACTTGTAAGTACTTAGATTGACAGAATTTTGCAAATGTCGATTTAGGCCTCTCAGCAAGGTATTCCTTTGCTTTCACAGATTTCAATTCTGTGAATCTCCTGAAAAAGAGCAGTTGCTGGTTCTTGTTTTCTGGTAAAGACTCGCTGGGAAGGGAAAAGCTTGGTAAATGAAAAGCATTAAACATTTCCCTGCAAACAAAGCTTTCAAATGCAAAGCATTTATCATCACCTCGCCAGTAGACTATATCTGTTACGATTGAATTGGCTGCAGCATCTAGATCCCAATCAGCATCTTTCATTTGCTCAATTAGTAACTTGACAAAGCTTCGGATTGACTTGACTGTAAACCGAACAACTGCAAGAAAATGACTAGGACTTAAACCTGACTGGTGAAGTTTGTCGGGTACAGATAATTGTCCGCTTTGATTTAATCTTTTCTCCAGTAATTTATTCTGTCTATTAGATTCCTCTAATTTCTCTCTAAGATACATAATTTCAGACTCCTTAAGCCTTAACTGAGACTCCAATTTCTTCCCCATAACTTCGTATGTCTTCGAAACACTCTTCTGCTCTTGAACTTCAGCTAACAGCATAGTATTCTCTGGTGAAGAATCAAATTGTTTTTTCACATAACACTGCTTCAACTCGGATAAATTCTTCAACTCAGAAACTACTAACTGATCAGCTGCTTGAATCCCGTCGACATCATAAGGAGATTGAGCACACTGTAACTGAGCATATGCAGCTTTAACAGATGAAACACTGGCAAAGAGTTTTGCAAGCAGTGCTTCCATAGCCAAAATGTTTTGGCGTTCCTCATCATCGTCAATGTTGAAGCGCTGAGGCAGAGTAACTCTGGTCTTATTACTGATCTTGTTATCATTCTTAAACTTTTCCTCATTCTTAACCCTTTCCTGTGACTTTACCTTTTGCACACCATCAACCGGAGCAATCCCAGTTGCTGCTCGAAGATGAAGAACTTTCGCAACTGTGCGTGCAAATTTACTCTTTTTTGGAGTCATGGTAGACAGCTTCACAGAATCCATCTGTAGAAAAAATCACAAATGGTGGCAGTAATGATAAGAGGACCAATTAGTGAAAATTTAATACTAGAAAAATAGGACAAAAGTTGGGACAACAAAGATTTAAGATGATGATAACGATGAGCAAATTGAAAGAAAGAGAAAATCAAATTACTTTATAGCACTAGTATCGAGACCATTAATGGTGGATGGAATTTCCTTTTGTTTATTCTTTTACCTTTAAGTGTTTCCAATTCACTTCCCTTTCAAAGGGTAAAAGAGATAAGACTTTAACGCTGAGAAAAAGAAAAAGAAGAGGGAGTGAAGGGAGAGGGGAGGAGGAAGAAGAAAAGCAGCCAACAGAAGATGATTAACAAAGAACCGGTAAAAAGTGCGAAATGCCTCTCATAAGCACAGTAGACTTCATGGTTGCAATGAGAACAGAATTCTGTACAGAAAGAATGCAAGGGTTGCCAAAGAATATGTGGGAGATATAATTAGCACATGCAGTTCTACCTACTATTCTCTTGCTCCAGTTCTTTCTTTCGGTTGGTCAAATACGCCTACAATACAATTCGGCATTGTCTGGATAGCAACTTTAATTCTTGCAATAATATTTTTATGCAACCAGCACTAATAATAAAGAGAAATGCACAGCTAATTATTTAGCAGAATACATAATTTACTTCCTGAACTTTGATAAAAAAATCTTGTGCCACCTTGAACTTTAAAATCGACTTTATGACACTCTGAATTTCATTTTCTGTAATAATTTTACACTTTCTTATACTAAAAATAACAATTTTTAAGATTTTTGACTTTTAAATACAAAATATTGATCTAGTGCGTGGTTAGTATAACTTTTGGAACAATAATTCTTAGATTAATCTACTATCCAATAAATGTTTACTCGATCTAATTCCACAGATTGAGGTATTCAATGAGTTAAATAAAATACGTAATAAGTCGGATTTTGTAATTTGAGACATTCAATTATTCAAAATAAAAGTTGAAAGTGCCACGAGATTTTTCATAAAAAAGTACAACATTGAGTTTATGTATTCAACCCTAATTATTTTAATGCAACTTTAAATCACATGCTAAGTAGCAATATAAGCCTATGCTCTAGACTCTAGATTGGGCAAACATTGGGATAATGATGCCTTCATGTTAAATCAAAAGAAGTCAGCTTTGTCTACAACATCTTAACCAACCACCCAAAAAAAAAGAAAGTAGGGAAAAAGAGTGAGAGAAGATTGAATGAGAAGCATAAGAAGAGAACTACAAGTATGAGCTACCTTTTTCCAAATTTAAAGTTCCTCTATAAATAAAATCAACAACACCATAAGATTATATGCACAAAAAAAAAACAGATTAAAAAAGTTAGTCAAATTGATATTTTTATACCAACACGAACAGATTTCAACGTGTGCACATTTCATTTTTGAATTGGTTAAGAGAAAAAAAGAGAAATAAGCGTCTTATTTTGTGCCATATACACATCACCTGTGGTCCAATGAGAAATTCTTTTCCACAAGGATTATGATATTGGAATGAAACTCTATCCTATTTTATTGAACTGCTAATCATATGTATGATTTGTTATCCCCTATATCATTCAAGCAGGAATACTTTCATAATATTTGAACTAACTTTTAGACGTTAAGATAACGTTTTACAAATAGTTAACAGATATAACCTTTAATATTTAAGGTTTAATGAAAAATTACTCAAACACCATTTAAATATTTGAATAGTGTTTTTTTTAAGTAGTTATTTAGATAGCTTTTCATAAAAAGCTAAAAGTTAAAAGACCTTTTATAAAACGCTATCTGAATTTCTAAAAATTAATTCAAAGGTTACGTTACTGAATACTATAAAAATATCAAAGAAGTAATTTTCTGCGAACAGATACAAACTCGGCCTTACCTAAGACAGTATCAATAGCAAAAGCTTGGCCCGTTTTATAAACTTTTGAGCTTCACGGAAAGACTAGTAGGGAGTATTTGAAGGGCTCAAAATGGAATAATAATTTCAAAAGGCTATCTTTGTCCAAACCTACAACTATGTTACAATTGCAAAAAAATGGGCTTGGATAAACTCTAATCTAGTATAAATCCCCAAAATTTCAGTTGTTTCAATTAAATAACTCTGTAGAAAATCCCTAAATGCAGCCAACTATATTTCATTGTGTTGTTGGGCTCCACCAGATAGATAATCATAGCTGCTACAAGCAATGATTTATGGAATTATACAATTGAAAAAAAAAATTAAAAATACACTCAATCTGACCATAATAACCAATCACATAAAAAGGTAAACAAAGCTTAAATTTCAAAGCACAAAACCCACGGGAGCATGTGAAGCAAGTTACTAACACGTACTTAGTCGTACACACGTGCGACTGCCTTAATACATTAATAAATAAATACGCGGCATTCAATTAAGAAATTAGGACGCTGGTCCACACAATAGTTAACTAAACCTATACATTAATTAATATATAAATAAAATAATACTGAGAAAGTTAAGCTCTTTAATTAATAATGCTGAGATTTTTAAGCAGACTAATAATTACAAATACTATGACAATTATGTGCTTATTAGAGAACAAATTCCAGGACACCACCTTTTAACTATTTTGTTAAAATATAATTTTCATGGTTTTAAACCTGAACCACAGGTTCCGATCTCAAAAAATAGGAACTGGAACATTAATTAAGTTTGCGGTTTCGGTTATAATTTGGAACCAGAAACTGCTGAACACAGTTTAGTGCAGGTTTTGGTTCGGTTCTTATTCAAAACCGAACCGTGCTCCCTACAATTGAGGCGAATAAAAGTATTAATGTTCTCATGTTAGGAATAACAATAAAGATTAACAAAGGACAAACGGAAATACAAACAAAGTATAGGCAAGTACCAACATGAAGAATGGCGCGTGAAACCATACAAGACTTTGTTGGCTTCTTATTTCTACTATGTTTTTTTTTTTTTTTTTTTAGAATAACAATTAAAAGATAACAAAGGACAAACGGAAATACAAACAAAGTATAGGCAAAGTACCCAACATTGAAGAATGGCGCGTGAAACCATTACAAGACTTTTTGGCTTCTTATTTCTTACTAGTTGTTTTTTTTTTTTTTTTTTTCACCATACCAAATATAGGATGCTTCATGCTTTTTTTTAATTAATAAAAATTTAAGACACAGACATTTTTTTTTTTTTTTTTTCACATACCAAATATAGGATGCTTCATGCTTTTTTTTAATTTAATAAAATTTAAGACAGACACGATCTTCTTTATTAATTTTTTGACTTGTAAATTATCAAAATTTTATTTTCAGAAGACTTTCATTTGGAAATGTAGAAATTTTGTGGAAAAAGAAAACCAAAATGAACATTGGAAAAATTTATATAACGATAAAACACATTGCTACCTTGAAAATCCAGCGAGATTTCGTCAATTTCTCGTCATAGAAACGTAAATCTCAAAAAACAGACCGACGAAACCGACCTTGTACTGCCGACCTTTACAAAGTTCAAAACACCGAAACCCTGTTCAAAAAAAAACATAATCATCCACATAATTTTTTTAAAAAAAATTAAATAATAAAAATACAGAAAGAAAGAGTTGTAAGAGAATAAAAACTACTAAAAAACACAAAAAAAAAAAAATCTTAAAAAAAACCCCGAAACTAGAGGTTTTAGAGAATGCAAACAATGATCAGCAAAGAATGCCAAAACGATAAACGAAGCTTCTCAAAACGACACATCAAGAACGAAAACTGGCAAACGACCTACCTTCTTATACCTTTGATAAATATACGAGTACGAGTGTATATAGATAATCTCTTATATATGAACAGAGAGGGAAGAAGATATAAGAATTTACAATACCGTTATAATAGATTATTTATCGATCTTTTTTATGAAAAACAGAAATGAGCCAATAATGGAAACGAAACCATGAAAAGAAAGTTTGTTGAGGAGTCATTAATTACATACAGCTCTAACTTACCTTAAAAAAACAAGAACGAACTCCAAAGGAAAATCGTTTTGGTTTTGAACGCCTTTAGAGATTCTTGCCAAAAATTGGATTTAAGTAGAAGAACCTGCCTTTTGGAGCTGAGATTAAATCGTTATTCCCATTTTCAGAAACAGAGGAGAGAAAAATCAGAACTCGAAGTTGAAGGAGAAGGAGTATGAAAAGACAAAAGAGGACAACAAAGAGTCATTGGGAATTTAAAAGAGACCTGGGCTAGGTCGCTTTCTCTCGATTTTCTAGATATTATCTTACCCTTTGTATTGTTGGATATTACGTAGCCGTTTTGATTGAAAGTGGTTGGAGTTTGGGTTAACAGTAAGGGTATTTTGGGGAATTTGAGGCGAAAAAAATCTGACACGTAATAGATGTTACATAGGTTCGTAGGTGGAACTGAACAAACGAAAGGTTCGTATTTGGGTTTGGGAAAAGTCTTGCGTGTGAACACTTGGACTTGAAAGAAACGGTACGAGTGATTTGAATTTTCAATAGTTTCTGTGCACGTGGCAAGAGAATTGGGAATTTAGTGGAGCCCACGAGAGATTGGCTCACTGCTTGACAGTTGGCTTATTCTAAATTTTTTATTCGACGGTTGTTTGCAGTCTGAATGTGCTCGGAAATTTCGAGCAGGCATTTGGTGTTTTAGAATTTTATTAAGTTTGTGCTAGGAGCGTCAAAACGAGTCTGACACGCAAACACGCAAAATAAATATGTTAAAATCGAGGTTAAATAAATGTGTTGCATTGTGGATTTACCGTAATTTACGAACGAGTGATCTGTTTATTTAAAAGAAAAAAAAAAAATTTTAGCATTGAATATAAATATTTTAATTAAAATTTATTTAAAATTTATTATTGTATTAATTTTTTATTTTAGTCATAAATTTTGAAAAATTTATACATTTTACGTATAAAAAATTATTTTTCAATATGATTTAAGTTAAACAGGTTAAAATTTAGAAATATTATAAATAGATTAGTAGGTCATATACAGATCAACAGGACCGACTTAACCTATTTATGACATTAGGCCGTTAAATGTAATCTGCAGATCACCTGTCTAATTTTTTTGTCATGTTCGTGTCGATAAATTTGACACAATTATTAAATGGATCGTGTTCATGTTGACAAATTTAATACAATTATTAAATGGATCATGTTCGTGTTGACCTTAATCATATCGCGTGTTAGGCAAATCCGTATTGAACTCAACACGTCAATCCGTTTTGACAACCCTAGTTTCTGTAGTTTTTTGTAAATATAATTCATTAATAATAATATCAAGAATTGAAAATAATCATATAGACCAGACACAAAATTTTATATAGAGTTTGATGATTTATTAACAAGGTAAAAAAATTCATATTCTTTTAAATAATGAAACTAAAATATAAAAATATATTATTAAATTTTTTCACTTGAAATTGATCTTAACAAAAGATATAAATCTTTATAGCA